CTTGTTATATGCAATGTTCGTTATTAGTAATCCACGTTGTATTGTGCTTTTCTGTTTCTAGTTGTGTGGAGCTCAGCAATTCAGCTGTGCTGAGATGACTTTCATGTTATGAAAGTTCCATAAATTTCATCTGAAGCATTTTACTGCACTTGAAGAAAATGATTGACCCAGAAAATATTTCAATATTTAGCCCCACTAATTTAAAAATAAACATTAAGCAGACAATAAACAGAGAGCTTTTCCTGACTTCTGTTGATTCTAGTTTTGCTCGGGCTCCTTGATGTCACATTTAGTCAAATGTGTGCTTGATGTCAACAAGGCCAAAAATCACCGGACACCAGGTTATAGTACAACAGGTTTATTTGATGACATGAGCTTTCGGAGTCTTGTGCGTCTTCAAATAAACCTGTTCGACTATAACCTGGTGTCCTGTGATTTTTTTTTTTAAGCTTGCCCACCCCAGTCCAACACCAGCACCTCCACATTATTGATACCAAGGACAATTACTGTCACCTCCCCTGTGATGTACTGAGTGGAGGAAATTCCTAGTTTGTTGAACAAGTGAAGGGTCTCTTGTCGATTTCTCTGGGGAGGATTTGCTAAGGTGATGTGAAAAAATGGTGTGAGGATGGACGCTTTGTTCATGCAAGTGTCCTGAACATGTACTTGAGATGTAAAACTTGAAGCTAAGGAGTACAAATGGCATTTAAGTTTCAAGATAATGCCTTGAGTCAGTGGCCCCTTAACTTGCAGTCAACTCCTCACAGCTTTGCTGTAGTTTGTGTGCAAATAGAAGGCTGTCTCATCAGGCCAATTGGTAGAAATGTGCAGTGGAATGTTATTAGGCCCAGTTTACATCATATTACTATTCTGAGCCACTCCAGATGGATGCTACTGAAGTGTCTGTTGTAATAGGCTGATTTTTATTGACTATATCAGATCTTGCACTAGGAATTGTTATATCTGTTTGCTTGTTATTTGCAACGTTTGTTGTTGGTAATCCACGTTGTGTTGTGCTTTTTTGTTTCTGGTTGTGTGGAGCTCAGCAATTCAGCTGTGCTGAGATGACTGTCATGTTGTGAGAGTTCCATAAATTTCTTCCGAAGCATTTTACTGCACTTGAGGGACATGGTTGACCCAGAAAATATTTCAATATTTAGCCCCACTAATTTAAAAATAAACATTAAATTCTGTTTATAGTTAAAATTTTTTTTTAAAAGTTGACTTAGATTGCTATGCTTAATAATTTAAAAGTGGTGAAAGGGGAACTGGATCTCAAGCCTCTAGAGCCTAAACTAAGAGATATTTGGTTTTTATTTTGAACATGATTGAAGTTAAAGATAAAAAGCAAGGGGCCAAGAAAAAAGCAGTGTGCTTAGCGGCAGCCCCAAGTTACTGTCACAGTTTCTGGATAACACATTTCTGTATTTTAACAAAGGTCACAAAGAATTTGACAAGTGAACATTTGCAGAATTTATATTAAACTCAATTTGAAAACAGAATCAACTTTTGAGATTCTGATAATGATTTAACATAGAGATATTATGATTTTGTGATATGGATGCATAAATTTCCAGTGCTGTCATTAAGCCTAAATGCAAACTTGGTGTTACTACTTTCATAGTGTTTCTTAGGACAATAAATAATCTGCAATTATCTTTTCCAGGCCAGTTCCCATAAACAAACATCAGTTAATTTGCTCTTTCCTCCTTTCCAAACCAAGATGCTTTTCAAAGTTTGATTCTCAAATTAGGCTCTCAGTTCCAAATCAAAGGTGAGAAAAATAAAGAAAAACAGTGACGATCTCAACAACTTAAAAAAAGTTTTAAATTGTGCACCATATTCATCATGTAATTGCATGTATGTTGACAAATGCATGATGACATCACTAATATGGTGATTGTGAATCTTGGAATGCATGAAAATGAGGGAAAATTTTGTATTTAGTGTCAAATTGAGTAGCAATCATTACCATTCACCAGCCCAGTACTATTCTAAGTAAAGCTGACAGTTTGAGCAGAAAGCACTAACTAGTAGTCCAGAGGGATTGTTATAAACTTAAGTTGGAAACAAATACATAGTTTCTAGTATCGTGCTGTTAACCCTCTCATTAAGTAAATGCATTAAAGTCTATACATGTCCATACTTTACAAGTTTAATGGTAGATGTGAAAGTGTTGAGGCTCAAACATTTCTGGCAAATCAGTAATCAGTAATAATGTCTGGACTGGCTCCTCAAAGCCACAGGCAAATTGGAATTGGGCACATAAAGTCAAGCAATTAAATGTGTGACTTAAAGATTGGTGTGTGTGGAATGGGTTTCAGTTCCTGTGATACTGGCATCAGTACTGGTATAAGGAGAAATGTAGTCATCTAAGAGGGGTGTTACAGGGCAGCTATTTGGATAACAATACCCAGAGTGGAACAGAAAGTGACAGTGTACAGACACAGAAGACAGTGATAAATATGATTAAAGGAGGAACAAATGGTAAAGAGACAAAATTAATGGGTTTTTTTTTTGCCCATTATTTGAATGTGTTTAGTATTCAAAACAAATTAACAGCATAAATACAGGTTAATTGATGTTATTAGCCATTATGGAGATGTGGCTACAAGGAGATCAGAGCTGGGAACTAAATATTCAGGGTATGTGACTTTTTGAAAGGACAGGTAGAAAGTTAGGGTGATGTGTTAACATTGTTAGTACAGGATGGAATAAGTATGATAGCAAGAAATGGCTTTGGATCAAAAGATGTAGACTGCACATGTTCGGAGGCGGGACATAACAAGGGGAAGACACACGGGTAGGAGTAGTCTGCAGGCCCCTTCAGGGTAGCTATTCGATAGGACTGGGGATAAATTAGGAGATAATGAGGGCATGTAAAGAAGGTAGTGCATTAATCCCAAGTGACTTCGATCATCATATAGATTTGGCTAGTTAGATTGGCAGAGGTAGCCATGAGGAAGAATTCGTAGCGTGTTCAGGAAAATTTCATAGAACAATTCATTGTAGATCCATCCAGGGACCAGGGTATTTTGTATCTGCTGATGTGTAATGAGGCAAATTTAATAAATAATGGCAACCTATAACCAGTGAACTGCCAAAGGGATCAGTGGTGGGGCCACAATTATTTACCATGTATCAGTGATTTGAATGAGCAAAGTGAACATACTTTAGCAAAGTTTGCTGATGACACAAAAATGGATGGGAAGACAAGTAGTGATGATGTCACAATCTGCACAGGGTAAGGGATAAGCTAAGAGAGTGGGTAAAAACGTGGCCGAACATAATGTGAGAAAATTAGAATTAGATTTTATTGTCACGAATACTGAAGTATAGAAGTATACGAGTGCCGTGAAAAATGTACAAAGTTGCCATTCTCTGGCACCATCCTGGTTACAGAGCTAAGAAAACATCCAGATCTTCAAGTTTAAAGTCTTATCTCCATTAAGGTTTTTGGAATGCTCAGCCACTGATGTAGACACCCAAGCCTGGAGTCAAGGTTGGCCTGCAAGTCTTATAATGGCGGGAAGTTTATTCATGAAGTAGCTGGAGCTCTTTGCACATCAGGAATTGCCCTGACAAACTCCTGCAGCGTCTCTTGGTGTAAGAAGTTTGCCTCTGGCTATTTGTATTCCAGCCAGCCCAGAGTTTTCCATTGACTTAAGTTAAACTGGGGCTGTTTGTCACAGTTTGTCAAATGTTGCCTTGATGTTCGTGTTTGGACAAAGCTGCAATTAAATGTGGCACTCGGTGATCCTGGTGGAACCCAAGCTGAACATCTGAATATAGGTATTTGGTGAGTAAGTGCTTCTTGATGGCACTATTAAAAATGCTATTCAGTTGATGGTCCACTAATTGAAATTGGATTTGTCCATTGGAATTTTTTTATTTTGTTACATAGATGCCACCGTTGTAACTATACTGGACTAGTTTAGTTGCAACATAGTTATGAGTCAGAATGTTGTTGGGGGTCCATAACCTTTCCTTCTATTCATTGTGGTTAGCTGGTTCTTGATATCATGTGAAGTGAATTCCATTATCTGGAGAATGGCATAATGATGGTGAGGACTTCTTGAGGAAACAGATCCACTTTGTAGTTCTGTTTAAAAATAGTTGCAAATGTTCAGCCTGGTCTTTTGCACTTGTTTGCTAACCTCTGCTGTAATTCAAGATGGAGATATTCATGAAACCTCCTCATCCAGTTAGTCGTTTTATTGCTCACAATCACTCATCACAATTTGACAGATTTTCAGAGCTTTGATCAGATCCATTGGTTTAAATATGCTGCTGGCAAGCATGTAATCCTGTGTTGTATCTTCACCAAAGTGTCAACTATTTTGTCAGGTATATTGGTGCTGTCCTGGCTTATTTTACTGCACACTCATTGAGACAGGGTTTATAGCTTGATGAAAATAGAGTGGGAGGTATGCTGTGAAGTTGTGGATTGTGGTATACTAGGTGTGCTACTGCTTTTTGATCCAAAGTTGCTCACAGTTGCCAAGTTTTAAGATCTTAATCTGTTCTGAATATAAGTAATATTGCTATTGAACAGTTCTGGCAACTGTTCCAAGCTCTGCCTGTTGGTCACGCTGACCAAGACACTAATGGGCAGATACTCCTGTGAGTTAAATTGGTAACAATGAGATCATTTTTTTTCCCCCCATTGTTGGCTCTTTCAACCTGTCAACCATGTCACTTGGGATCCTGCTGGCTCAGTGAGCAAGTCTGGGAGATTGGCACTGAAATTCTCCATCCTGAGTGCATTCTGTGACTTTTGTTGACAAGTTGTTAATGTAATAGCAGCAACAGGATGGGATGTAGTGATTGCTGTTGAACTTCCAAATGTTCTGCAGAGTTGAACAGTCACATTTCTAACTATTACAAATGAATACCTTGTGTTATGTCATCCATCAAAAATGAGCAGAGTTGCTAAAACTAACTGCTGGTATTTTATTATCTGTATGAGATGACTATAATAACTCATAATTTTGATCTAGGGTGAGAAGGATTCACAGAAAGAACCGGAAGTATGGTATACTGAATACAAACCTCGAAAACATGGAAATGCGGCCTTTAGATCAGGAAGATGATGATGAGGATGACACGTTATTTGATGTACATCAGTCAAGAAGGTAACTGAAAATGTATTCTGTTAAACAGAAAATCCAATCTGTGAAGCTTGGAAATTAGTTAGATCTTATAAAAGCAAAATATTACATATTCTGGAAACCTGAAATAAAAGATGAAAATAAAATGCAGAAAATGCTGGAGAAATGCAGTTGGTCTGGCACCCTTCAGTGGAGAGAGAAAGTTAAGTTTTCAAGGCCCATATTACTCTTGTTGGGAATTTTTTTTTATTATAGTTATGCCTCAGTCAAATTTTAAACATCATAAAGACGCTAATTAATGGGAAAAGAAATAAACTTAGGTGTATATAAAATTGCACATCAAGAAATGAAAAGCAGCTTTGGCACATAAATGAATTAATCAAGCATCAGTGTTTTAATATATTCAGTTGAAAACTCCATTTTTGCACTTTAGCATTATGGAATTGCTTGTGAAGTATGTTCGTGAAATTGTGGTAATTTACTAATAATAGGAAACTGAGTGTTCAAGTAGGCTTGTTCACTTCACTTGATTGAATAACTGAGTGAGTGTTCCAATTGAATGACCAGAAATTGAAAATTGCAATCTCTTTCCTATGAACATGCCATTCATGCAAGGAAAGTAGATCACAAGAAAAGGGAATTGTGGAATGTCTACGAGATGGCTTTTTGGAGCAGCTTGCTGTGGAGCCCACTAGGGAAAAGCTAATTCTGGATTTAGTGATATGCAATGAGGCAAACTTGATAAGGGAGCTTAAAGTGAAGGAACCCTTAGTGACCATAATATGATAGAATTTACTCAGCAATTTAAGGGGGAGAAGCTGAAATCAGATGTAATGGTATCATAGTTGAATAAAAGCAACTACAGAGGCATGAGGAAGAGCTGCCCAGAATTCTCTGGGAGAGGAGCCTAGCAGGAGGGTGGAATAGATATGGCAGAGGTTTCTGGGAGTAATTCAGGAGACACAGCAAAAATTCATCCCTAGGAAAAAGAACATAGTAAAGGTAGGACAAGGCAATCGTGGCTGACAAGGGAAGTCAGAGATAGCATAAAAGCAAAAGAGAAAGCGTATAATGTGGCCAAGGACATTGGGAAGCCTACAGCGACCAACCGAGGACAACTGAAAAAAGAAATAAGGAGGGAGAAGATAATATGAGGGTAAGCTAGCCAGTAATATAAAAGAAGATTGCAAGAGTCTCTTTAGATATATAAAGGGCAAAAGAGAGGCAAAAGTGGACATTGGGCCACTGGAAAATGACGCTGGAGAAGTAATAATGGGGAACAAAGAAATGGCAGAGGAACTGAACAAGTACTTTGCGTCAGTCTTCATGGTGGAAGACACCACTAACGTCCTAAAAATTTAAGAGCGTCAGAGCGGGGTTAAGGCAGTGGTGAGTATGCTGGCCATCACCAGAGAGAAGGTACTAGAAAAACTAAAAAGTCTGAAGGTAGATAAATCACCTGGACCTAGATGGATTACACCCCGGAGTTCTGAAGGACATAGCTGAAGAGATAGTGGAGGCATTAGTGGTGATCTTTCAGGAATTGCTGGAGTCAGAAAGAGGAACCCAGAGGACTGGAAAGTCGCTAATGTAACACACACAACACACATCCCCAATTTAAGAAAGGAGTAAGGCAAAAGACGGGAAATCACAGGTCCATTAGCCTGACTGCAGTTGTTGGTAAGATTTTGGAGTCCATTGTAAAGGGGCAATTTCTGGACGCTTGGAAGTGCATGGTAAAATAGAGCAAAGTCAGCATGGCTTCATCAAGCGGGGTTCATGCCTGACAAATCTGCTAGAATTATTTGAGGAAGTAATGAGTAGGTTAGACCAAGGAGAGCCAATGAATGTTATCTACCTGGACTTCCAGAAGGCCTTTGACAAGGTGCTACACAGGAGGTTGCTGAGTAAGAAGGGCCCATTACATTAGAGGCAAAGTACTAGCATGGATAGAAGATTGCTTTCTGCCAGACAGCCAGAGAATAGGTTTAAAAGGGTCCTTCTTGGGACGACAGCCAGTGTTGGGACCACAACTTTTCACTTTCTACATTAAGGATCTAGATGAAGGAACTGAGGCACTCTGGCTAAGTTTGCAGATGATTCAAAGATAGGTGGAGGGACAGTTGGTATTGAGGAGGCGAGGAGCCTGCAGAAGAATTTTGACAGGTTAAGACAGTGGGCAAAGAAATGGCAGATGGAATAAAATGTGGGAAAGTGTAAGGTCATGCATTTTGGTAGGAAGAATAGAGGTATGGACTATTTTCTAAATGGGGAGAAAATTCAGAAATCTGAAGTGCAAAAGGACTTGGGAGTCCTAGTCCAGGATTCTCTTAAGGTTAACTTGCAGTTGAGTCTGTAGTCAGGAAGGTAAATACAATGTTGGAATTTATTTCGAGAAGACAAAAAATAAAAGCAGAGATGGATTTCTGAGGCTTTATAAGGGTCTGGTCAGACCACATTTAGGGTATTGTGAGCAATTTTGGGCCCCACATCTTAGGAAGGATGTACTGGCCCTGGAGCAGGTCCAGAGGAGTTTCACGAGAATGATCCCAGGAATGAAAGGCTTAACACATGAGGAATGGTTGAGGACTCTGGGTCTATACTCAGTGGTGTTTAGAAGGATGAGGGGGTACCTAATTGAAACTTACAGAATACTGAAGGCCTGAATAGAGTGGCCGATGGGAAGATGTTTCTGTTGACAGGAGAGACCAGGACACCAGGGCACCGCCTTAGAGCAAAGGGAAGACCCTTTAGAACAGAGATAAGGAGAAACCTCTTCATCCAGAGAGTAGTGAATCTTTGCAAATCATAGCCACAGAAGGCTGTAGAGGCCAGGTCATTGAGTATATTTAAGACAGAGATAGATAGATAGATAGGTTCTTGACTGTTAAAGGGATCAAAGGTTACAGGGAGAAGGCAGGAGAATGGGGTTGAGAAACTTATCAGCCATGATTGAATGGCGGAGCAAACTCACTGGGCCGAAAGGCCTAATTTCTGCTCCTATGTCTTATGGTCTTATCCCTAAAACCACCTATTTCTACCTCGAATGTCATCCCACTTCTGTCTCCGTTAAACCCTCATTCATTGCCTGTAACTCAAGTATTTCAGTACACTCTTAGCTAATCCTCCATGTTTAACCTCTATAAACATTGGGGCATCCAAGGTTTTGTTGCTAGTTTCATAACATGCATCATGTCCAGATCCCCATCACCCTGAACTTGCTACTATGTTTGCTCATGACCAAGCAATGGCTTGGTTGTGAAAGTCTCATCCTTGTTTTCCGTGTTTCACCCTCCCTGACATCGTTAATCTCCTCCAACCCGAACGCTCTCTAGATATCTACCCTTCTAATTCTGGAGGCTTATCTAGATTATCCTGATTTTAATAGCTGCTTTATTGGTAGGTGTGCCTTTGGTTTCCTCAGATGATGATCTGGGAATATCATCCTTATATGTCACCACCAGCAGCAGTAGCCAGGTGCACTGCAGAAATTCACCAAAGATCCTTACACGGCACCTTCCACACCCGTGATCCCTTCCATCTAGAAGGACAAGGGCAGTAGATACATGGGAACACCACTACCTGCAAGATCCCTCCAAGCCACTCACTATCCTGACTTGGAAGTATGTCACCAATCCTTCATTGTTGCTGGGTCAAAATTCTGGAATTCTCTCTGTAAGGGCATTGTGGGTCAACCTACAGTGTGCAGATTGCAGCAATTCAAGAGGCAGCTCACTACCATCTTCTCAAGGGCAACTAGGAATGGGCAATGAATGTCCATGTCACATAAGTGAATTTAAAAAAAAACACTTTTTCCCTGCATTCCTTCTTTTAGAAAGCTGCTTAAAAATAACCCATTTTGTCATCTGACCTAATTTGTGTGGCTCCATTTCATACTTTGATCTATAATGCTCCTGTGGAGTGCCTTGGGATGTTCATTGTGTATCATGCTTAGTGTTGTCTACATAATTAAGTGTGGCAAATCGATTTGTTTTTTTTAAGTTAAAGTTGATCTCCATAGAATCATAAAAATGTAAGTACAGAAGAATGTCCTGTAAATGATTTAAAATTTACAGATCCTTTAATGGTTTTGTAAATTTATAATTGTAGGGACAACAGTTCTTCCTTTCTGGAATGAAAGAAAGAAATTAGAGGATGTAGGCAAAACATTTGATGCAGGAGGCTTTCTGATATTAACAAAGAATTTTGCTGTTACTGTCTTTGAACTTTGAACTTTGTTCCTCATGCTTTTTTGCTGTTTGGTAAGAGATAGAATTCAGATTTTAGGATGTTATTCTAGTACAAATAACAGATCTCTGTTTGCATTGAGGAAGGTATAAAATCTCCCATAGATAGAGATCAAAATAACTAAGGAGAATGAGGAGCTGAAGAAAATTGGAATTAGTAAGTTTACACTGGAAAAATTCATGGGGCAGAAAGTGTTGGTTGAGACGGAAGGTTTTGGGGTGAGGGAGATAGGGGGTGTGGTTGAGGTGGGAAGAGACAGTGGTGTAGCGATTTGTCACTGGATTGGTCATCCAGAGGTCCAGAAAAATGATCAGGGGTCATGGGTTCACATTCTGCTATGGCATATGGTGAAAGTTGAATTTAGTAAAATCTAGAATTAAAAGCTAGTCTAATGGTAATCATGGTAATGACGATCTCACTGTTGATTGTTTTATAAATCCACTTGATTCGTTAATATTCTTTTGTGGGGTATTACAAGAATCAGTACTTGAGCCCCAGTTATTTGCAGTATATATCAGTAGTTTGGATACAGAGGCTACATGTGATATTTCCAAATTTGTGAATTATATGTGAAAAAATGGTGAGAGGCTTCAGGAGGATTTGGACAGACTTAGTGAGTAGACAAGAACATAAGCAGATGGAATATAGTAGGAAATATTGATAAGTTATCCAGTTTGGTAGGAGAAACAGAGATAACAAGGTGTAGAGCTGGAAGAACAGCAGGCCAAGCAGCATCAGAGGATCAGGAAGGCTGACGTTTCGGGTCTAGACCCTTC